TTCTGTCCACTTTTTTTTTTTCTTCGAGACAGGGTTTCTCTGTGTAGCTTTGTGCCTTTCCTGGAACTCACTTTGTAGACCAGGCTGGCCTGGAACTCAGAGATCCACCTGGCTCTGCCTCCGACTGCTGGGATCAAAGGTGTGCGCCCCCACTGGCGTCTGGTTGAAACTATGTATCTTAAAAAGAAGATGAAATAACAAAGTGAAGCTGAATGGCTACTGTCCCCGCTGTGTACATTTAACTATGGCAATAGTTGATAATGAAAGATACATCTCTAAGCCTGTGAGGAAAGGAAATGACTAGGAAGTGTCTAGGAAAGGCATGGCCCTTTGTCCCACTGCACTAAATTCTCCTTACTTGTTTCTTTGGTTGCGTTTCTCTTTTTAGACCGAAGGGACTGTTGGTATCCTAATAGATATAAGTTGAAGAAAGCCATCTCAGCGCCTCCTTCTTTTCAGAATGTCTACTCCGGAGCACTGGGTTCTAGTAACCATGGTAATGTCCTGAAGAATTACCATAACTGACATTACCTTTGGCCAGTGAGGCACAGGATTTATAGGTCACCATGGAGTTGGAATTGAGTGGGCTAAATAATTTCAAAATACTTGAGAAATCAAGTATTATTACCTTTTCAAAAGGGTATTTGTGTGGTAGTGGCGGTGCATGCTTTTAATCCCAGCACTGAGTAGGCAGAAGCAGATGGATCTCTGTGAGTTCGAGGCCAACCTGGTGTACAGCTCAAGTTCCAGGATAGTCAGAACTGTTACACAGAGAAACCCTGTCCTGAAAAACAGCGATGACAACAAAAACAGTCCTTTTTTATTCTCTGAAAATGTCATACATTTGTACAATGTACTTTGATCATAAACATATCTGCTGCTTCCCTTCAATGCCCCCCAAAGGGCCTCCATCTTGTCTCCTTCCTAACTTCACTATGTAGCTCTGACTGTCCTGGGACTCACTCTGTAGACCAGGCTGGCCTCAAACTCACAGGGATCTGCCTGTTTTGGCCTCCCGAGTGCTGGGATTAAAGGTGAGTGCCAAGATGCCTTGCCTGCTTATCAAGTTATTTTAAATTCCTAATCTGAAATTCCAAAATTCCACCATGAGTACCTGGTTCAGATGCTTCCAGATTTTGCTTTTCTTGTTGTTTTTCAACCTTGAACAGAACATAGTAGGTAAGGCTCAGGTTTTACCTTTGGAGGGCTAGGCTTCAGAGATGTTCACTGTTTGCTGTCAGATTTGGGTGCCGGAGGCCAGCACCTCTCCGGAGGCCCTTGCCTTTGGTCTCCCCTGCTGTCTCCGGTTTTCCTCGCTTGCTTCAGGTTTATCGTACTGCAAAAAGAGCTGTGTATACGAGCAACAAGACGGTCTTGATCCTCCTCCCACAGGGTCTGAGTCTTGCAATTCTTTCACTTGCAATCCTGTTATTATACTGGAATTTTATGATATGTCCATAAGATTGGAGGGCATGGGAGAAGTAGTGTGTAATTTTATTATTAGGTTGCTGCCCAGTCCTGTATGTGTAGGTAGTATGTGTGTGCACATGCATGTGAAGGCCAGAGGTTGACATTAGTCTCTTTCTCTATTGTTATCCTATCTATCTATCTATCTATCTATCTATCTATCTATCTATCTATCTATCTATCTATCTATCTAATCTATCCATCCATCCATCTATCTATTTTTGTGGAGACAGGGTTTCTCTGTGTATCCTTGACTGTCCCGGAACTCATTCTGCAAACTAGTCTGGCCTCAAACTCGGAGATCCACCTGCCTTTACCCCCTGAGCTCTCTCTCTTCCCAGTTCTGGAATTACTGGTGTGGTGCCCAGTTTTTTCGTCAACTCCTCAGCTAAAAGGGGAAGATCTTGTCTCCATGAATCCTCAGACCGAATGCCCCTGAAAAACAGTTTTTCTGACCCGGGTTCTCATCCTTACGCACAAGGACAACACCGACTGGCCATCTCTCCAGCTGGCCTTCACAGTCTTCTAATGAGCTTGTTCTTCACTGGGCAGTGACCTGAAGTGCTTAATATTTCTGCTACTTTACATAGTAGAGCAAGGGTAGAGAAGACTGAAGCTGGCCAGTTCCTTTCTCTCATGGTTAGGCTTTGGTAAAAGTCAAGTTTTATTTAATACTTATCATTTGAGGGTCAGTGAGATGGATCAGTGGGCAAAGGTGCTCGCCACTAAGCCTGACGATTTTGTGTTCAATCTTTGGATCCCATGGTAGAGAGAACACCTTGAAGTTGCCCTCCGACCTCTAGCCTTACACTGTGACATGTGCAAGCCTGCATATACAAGCACATGTACACACACTAATTTTTGTTTTTGGGGGGGTGTGTTTTTCAAGACAAGTTTTCTCTGTGTAACAGCCCTGGCTGTCCTGGAACTCACTCTGTAGACCAGGCTAGCCTTTAACTCAGAAATCAGCCTCCCTCTGCCTCCTAATGCTGGGATTAAAGGTGTGCAACAACACCACCTGGAATTTGCTATGTAGACCAGGCTGGCTTTGAACTCAGAGATCTTCCTGCCTCTGCCTCCTGAGTGTTGGGATTAAAGGAGTGCACCACTACACCCTGCCCTACATCTCTAATATTTTATAGACATAATGAGCTTGATAGGTATGTGCTGCACGAATCCTAATTGGTTTTAATAATAGAAACCTGGAGCCAGATATCGGGGTAAATGCTGAAAGATCAGAGGAAACAAGGCACAGTCACTTCTCACCTCACCAACTCCTCAGCCAAAAGGGAAGTTCTTGTCTCCATGAATCCTCAGACTGAATGCCCCTGAGTCCTCAGCCGAAAGGACCGAGTTTCTGTCTCCTCCTGCCTTACATGCCTTTCTCTGCCCAGCCATATCATTTCCTGTCTCAACCTTCCTAGTGCTGGGATTAATGGTGTGTGTGCTTCCCAAATACTGGGAGCAAAGGCATGAGATCACAAGTACTGGGATTAAGGGTGTGTGCCACCACTGCCTGGTTTTGTTTCTCTTTTAAACTGGATTAATCTCGTGTAGTCCAGGGTGGCTTTGAACTCACAGAGATCCAGACAGATCTCTGCCTCCCCAGTTTTAGCCAGGATTAAAGGTGTGTGCCACTATTGCCTGGCCTCTATGTTTAATGTAGTGGCTGGCTCTGTCCTCTGATCTTCAGACAAATCTTATTTTTTTTTTTTTTTTTTTTTGGTTTTTCGAGACAGGGTCTCTCTGTGTAGCTTTGCGCCTTTCCTGGAGCTCACTTGGTAGACCAGGCTGGCCTCGAACTCACAGAGATCCGCCTGGCTCTGCCTCTCAAGTGCTGGGATTAAAGGCGTGCGCCACCACCGCCCGGCTGGCAAATCTTATTTTGTTAAAGTGCAAACAAAATATCAACTCAGGCATGGAAGAACAGGTGCAAAGCTGAGCCCAGAAGTTCACAAGTTCAATACCTGCCTGAGCTATAAAGTAAGTTCAACACCAACTTAGCCAATTTAAATAACAAGTCACCAGGCGGTAGTAGCTCATGCCTTTAATCCCAGCACTGGGAGGCAGAGGCAGGCGGATCTTTGTGAGTTCCAGGCCAGCCTGGTCTACAGATCGAGATCCAGGAAAGGTGCAAAGCTACATAGAGAAACCCTGTCTCAAAAACAAAACAAAACAAAACAAAAAAACAAGTCACAACAGGGCTGGATACATCTAGGTGGCAGTGTACTTGCCCAGCAGAAGCAGAAGGATCTAAATTCAATCTCCATTGGCGTTGGAGGGAGAAGCCCAGGGATCGCAGACTGCGAGGGGTTAATTATCTTGCTTAGGCTGAAAAGCTATTAGAGCTGGAGCTGGGCTCCAATTTAATAGAGGCCTGACCTTAGAAATTTTCCACATGGTGGTGGTGGAACTTTCCACACTGTAGAGGTGGTTCTAGTTCATCTGTTAGCATATCCTAGGATACTTTGTTACTTCTAAACTATTTACGGTTTCTGCACGTGCCTCAGAGCATTTGGGGCAGTCAGAGGACAACTTATCAGAGTCAGTCCTCTCCTTTCATGTACCACGGGGGTGCCAGGGATGGAATTCAGGTTGTCAGCAACCTCTTCTACCTGCTGAGCCATCTGGAGGGGCCGCTCACTCCCATACATACATACATACATACATACATACATACATACATACATACACACAAGTCCCAGAGGACTTCTCAGGTACATATCAGAGCCCCAAATCTTGGAGACAGGCTGCCAATGCCCGCGCCAGTGGCGGGTACCGTGGACTTTGGTAAACAAAGAGTGGGGCCAGTCATAGATCTGTGATTTGAGATAGTGTGAACATCAGAACTGAGCTGAACACAGCGGCAGAAGCCTGGGAACAGGGACACCCTGTAGCGGACAGGAGGGTGAGGCAGACAGCAGCCCCACACAGTGGACCTAGGAGTGGGTCCAGCGCACAAATGATCTCTTGTTCTCCTCTGCTTGATAATCTTTCCCTGAGGTTTGGGTTTCCTAGAACTATTGATCTGGCCGCCACTGGCACCTGGCCCACCCTTGGGACCTGACTGAACGTTTGGAATCTGCACCGGCAAGCATATCGCTTTCCGTGACCAAAGGAGAGCCAGGGAAAAGGCCTCCCCACCTGCGTGAAACTCTATTTAAGTCAGCGTCCTAGAGCCTGACGTCGTGTCGCACACCGTTAATCCCGGCACTCGGGCGAACGCCGCTGGGTTTGTGAGTTCCAGGCCTGCCAAGGCTAAAAAAGCAAAAAGAAAAAGAAAAAATGGGGGGGGGGGAGAGAGAGAGAGAGAGAGAAGAGAGAGAGTGCGCGCCCCATCTCCCAGGATAAACCCCCAAACACATCGTGTCCCTGGGACAACGGAAGCATGAAATTAGCAGCATGAATTCCATTCCTTCCGGTTGGTTATCGGCAGTGAGACGGAGGCAGGGCTGCCCCCCCCGCCTACCGCGGCCAGGCAGGGCTGCCACACACATGCACACACACACACACACGCACACACACACACACACACACACACACACACACGGAGCTGCTTTTCCAGCGGGCTGCGGGTCTTGACACCGCGGCCAGGCACTTCGGGAGCCTTGGAGCGGCTTGAACGTCTCGATTCGCTGTCTTGTCTTTTCTCGGTTTCCCGAGCGTCTCTGGTTGCCCCGGCCATCGGGCCAGAAAGCCCAGTCTGTGCGGGAGGGTTTCCGAGACGGGTTCTCTGTGTGCAGCCCTGGCTGGCTGTCCTGGATCTCGCTCTGTAGCCCAGGCTGGCCTCGAACTCACAGAGATCCACCTGCCTCCGCCTCCCCGAGCTGGGATTAAAGTCGTGCGCCACCACCGCCCGGCTCTACCACCGGGACCTCCGTTCTCGTTAAAGACCCAGGCAGCCAAGCCGGGTCCGCCCGCCAGGCGACCTCACCCCAGTTATCGCGGGGAAAGGCGAGACCTCACCTCTCTTTAAGACCCACGGCTACGAGCGCCCCCCAGGTCAGACGGACTCGCGCCTGCGCCCTGGCCCCTGGCTGCCTGCGCTCCTGGTCGGCGGACCGGGCTGCTGATGCCGCCTACGGGCCGCCGCAGGGTCCACTCCGGAAGTAGTCGCCGGACGCGCCTGCCTCCCGGGGCGGAAGTGTGTCACCCGCGGGTAGTCGGCGGCTCCGGGCGGAAGTGCGTCAGGTCGCAGTTGTCTGGGCACGGCGGATGTGTGTCGTCGCCGCTTAGGTGACGCTGGGAAGTGCTTGCAGCCCCCGCCGCTGCCTCTGGGTTGGAGCACTATGGAGGGAGAGAGGAAGAACAACAACAAGCGGTGGTATTTCACTCGGGAGCAGCTGGAGAACAGCCCCTCGCGCCGCTTCGGCGTGGACTCCGACAAGGAACTCTCGTACCGCCAGCAGGCGGCCAACCTGCTCCAGGACATGGGGCAACGTCTTAACGTGTATCCTTGCGGCCTGTAGGCCTTTCGGCCTGGGCGCCCGGCCGGCCACGCTTCGGCGTCGGGCCGGGCACGCTGGCGGGGGCCCGAGTCGGTGAGGCGCTGGCGGGGGCTGGACGCCGGGTGGGCAGAGCCCACAATGGCGCTGGCCGAGCCACCGTTCGCGCGAGGGAAGTGAGGCGGAGTCAATTTCCCGCTCGCTCGTCCGCCCGCCCGCCCGCCGGTGCCAGCAGCCCGGCTGGGGATCCGGACCTCTCCCGTCTTTGTGTGTTCGCCGCCCCGCCTCCCCCGGCCCCTCTCCTCTGGATTCTGACCCGGTTTTTTTGTTTTTTAGTGGTTTTCGAGAGGCTCCGCTGAAAGATCTTTCGCTGGGCACGCTGCCTCCCCAAGTGTGTGAGAAAGGGTTTCGGGAAATTCTGTCCCCCGACGGGCTCATGGAGGTGGGCTATAGAATTGGCGCCCCAGCTTTGGTTCCAAACCCATTTCTCCCACTTACGAGCTGTTCATAACCTGTCAAATTCTTGGTTGTTTTTTTTTTTTTCTGTGTCCCATCTCAACGCTTGGGATTCAGATGTGTTCTAGTAACTGTTTCATAGAATTTAAGAGGAAGGGAAGATGTCAGCTTAGGTGTGTAGGGAGATGTAAGTGTGGATATCATGTTTTAAGTAGTTTGCAGAGTTTTAAGTCCGTGTTTCTCAGGGCACTAGAGGTTATTCATTCGTTTTCAAAGTACAAGGGTAAGATAATTTAGTGATCCCCCCCCCCCTTTTTCCCTTCAGAAAATGAAGTCATTTGTGGCAAAACTAATAGTTTTAAAACTCCATTTTCCATATAACTTTCTTTTAGGTGCAGCTTCAGCTTATGTAGCATTTACTTAAGAGTGATGCTGAGGGCTGGGTGTGGTGTCTTATGCCTTTGATCCCAGCATTGGGGAGGTAGAGGCAGGCCAAAGCTACAAAGTGAGATCCTGTCTCAAAAAAAAAAAAAAAGTTCTGACTATAATGTAAGGCCTTCCAAGTAGGTGTTCCCTTCATTGGCCAGTTGTTCGCTATTGAAATCCAGTTTGTTTCCCAAGCATTCAGGCAGTGCACAATTAAACCTCTTAAGTTCCTATATATGTTTTAAGGCACCTTTTTAAAGTGTGCTTAAGCTTGTTGCCAGCATATTGTCACTTCTATACAGACTGTTGCTGAGGTCTGTAGGAATGAGGTATTCTTTTTTTCTGGCTAGAGGTATACCCATACGAATGAAAGACTCTGGATTAGAGGGACGGAGGGAGGAAGGAGTTCATTTTCAGTGGATTACCATCAAATCATTTCAAATGTTTTGTAGTTCAGGAGTTATGGGATATTTCCAGAAAGAAGTAGAACTAAACCTGGCATGGTGGTGCATGCCTTTAATCCCAGAGCTCAGGAGGTGGAGGCAGGCTGATTTCTGAGTTCGATGCCAACCTGGTCTACAGAGTGAGTTTTGGGACAGACAGGGCTACACAGAGAAACACCCCCATACCCACCCATCCACCCACCCCCCCCAAAGAAAAGGAGGAAAGAAAAAAAGTAGAACTGAAAAACTGATCTCTGGCAAGCAAGATGGCCCAGCAGGTCAAGGCACTTGCTACCAAACCCGATGACCTGAGTTCTATCTCCATGACCCATAGGGTGGACAGATAACTGACTCCTGCAAGTTGCACCCTGACCCCACACTCATGCTGTGGCATGCTGCATCACCCTTTCAAACGTAAATGTAATTAAAAAAGAGTTATCCTTAGCTAATGAGTCATCTTTGCAGAAGGCAAGTGACATGACAGGAAAGGTTAAGATACTATGTGGTTTTGTTTATGTTGCATATTGATTTACACCTTGCTGCTTGTTTTGTTTATTCAGTCATTAAGTCTTATGTTATTCATATAAGAACTTGCTAGGTGGGAGACATACTGTCAATTGGCAGTTAATAATTTAGTTAGTGAAGGAAAACAAATCTGCTCTTTGGTTTGAAGAGGTAGCTTGTGTAGGATTATCCACTGTGCTTTGTTCCGTTGGGAAGGGTGATTGAACCTTAACTTGAGAACCTCAGCTCACAACTGACCATCAACACTGCTATAGTGTACATGCACCGCTTCTACATGATTCAGTCTTTTACACAGTTCCATCGATACGTAAGTAGAATTTTGTACGGTGTAATCCTTTGGGGTTTGATTCTAGCTGCCTATTTATGATTGGTTGTTGTTATTGGACTAGGGTTTTATTTTAGAATTTAGGGCTGGTCATTTTAAGATTAAAAAAATTATGATTTAAGCAGGGCGGTGGTGGCACATGCCTTTAATCCCAGCACTCAGAAGGCAGAGGCAGGCAGACCTCTAAGTCCAAGGCCAGCCTGGTCTACAGAGAGAGTTCCAGGACAGCCAGGACTACACAGAGAAACCCTTTCTAAAACAAACAAGCAAACATACAAAAAACCCAAGGTAATAAAGGTTAACTTGAACAGATTGTGTGGATTAGTGGGTCAAATATTCTATTATTTTTTAAAGTCTTTGAGGAAACTGTTTTAGGATTTATTTTAGGATAATGCATCTAAAAACATAGTTTTAGGGCTGGAGAGATAGCTTAGTGGTTAAGAGCACTGTCTGCTCTTCCAGAGGTCCTGAGTTCAGTTCCCAGCATCCACATGGTGCATGGTGGCTCACAACCATCCATAATTCAATCTGGTGCCCTCTTCTGGCCTGTAAGCATTCATGTAGACAGAATACTGTATACATAATAAATAAATAAATAAATAAATAAATAAATAAATAAATAAATAAATATTATTAAAAGGGGGAGGCAGTGGTGGCACACACCTTTAATCCCAGCACTTGGGAGGCAGAGGCAGGCAGATCTCTTGTAAGATCGAGGTCTGCCTGGTCTACAGAGTGAGTTACAGGAAAGGTGCAAAGCTATAAAGAGAAACCCTGTCTCAAAAAACAAAAAAACAAAAACAACAACAACAAAAATCCAAAAACATAGTTTTATTTCTGAGTGTTTGTGTGAGTACCCACAGAGGCTAGATGAAGGCATTGAATTCCCTGGAGCTGGAGTTACAGGCTGCTCTGAGCAACCCTAGGTGGGTGCTGCGAGTCAAAGTACTTACTGATCCGTCTCCAGCCCAGATAAGGCATTTTGAGTTGTTTTGTTTTGATGCTGTAAGAAGAAACTTTGTGAAGCTAAATGTAATTCCTGTAATGTAAGAAGTATTGGCAAAATCAGACTTAGGATCTTTAGTTGAGTGTTGATAATTTTGTGTGATTAGTCAGTCTCCTACCCTTAGTGCCCATACCTTCTTCTTGTTGTTTTTCGAGACAGGGTTTCTCTCTGTAGTTTTGGAGCCTATCTTGGAACTTGCTCTGTAGCCCAGGCTGGCCTCAAACTTCAGAGATCCGCCTGCCTCTGCCTCCTGAGTGCTGGGATTAAAGGCGTGCGCCACCACGCTCGGCCAATATTACCCTCTTATCTTAATACATTAATTTTATAAGTTGGATTTAACTATGATCAATTAAAATTAGATTTGAGAGGGCTTAAAACATCATGGCATTGATGTTAAGCCAGCCCTTGTGGATTTTTTTTTCAATTTTATTGTGTGTGCATGATGTGATTGTGTATGAGTGTAGCTTACATTGGCTGTGGTGCACATATGAGGTCAGAAGACAAGTTTCAGTTCTCTTTTTCCATCATAGGTTTTGGGGAATCAAATTAAGGTTGTGAAGTGTGGACAGTTGCACATTAGGCTGCTGAGCCATCTTGCTAGCTGCTTTGTGAATTTCCATGTATTTATTACAAATATAATAAATTCACATGGTAAAAATTCTAACAATACCGAAACATATAAAGTGAAAACTCTGTGCCCTGTAGAGGTAATCATTGATCAATATTTGATATACAGTATCCTAAGCCTCTTCTGGATTTAAACTAGTATTTATGATTTCTGTTAAAAGATCCTGCCTCAGCTGCGCTGTGGTGGCGCACGCCTTTAATCCTAGCACTCCGGAGGCAGAGCCAGGTGGACCTCTGAGTTTGAGGCCAGCCTGGGCTACAGAGCGATAGATATCCAGGACAGGCACCAAAACTACATAGAGAAACCCTGTCTCGAAAAACCAAAAAAAAAAAAAAAAAAAAAAAAAAAAAAAAAAAAAAAAAAAAAAAAAAAAGCAACAAAAAATCCTTGGGGCTGTGCATATGCCCCAGTTCAGTGTGTATTTAGCACGTTAGGTTTTGAGTGGGGTCCATAGCACCAAAAGAAAAGAGGCCCCTATTTTATTAGCAGCACATTTGGATATATGTTACCCTTATTTGCTGACTTGTAAGAAATGAAGTGTAGTGATTAAAAGTATGTTTGCTGGGGTCAGACGTGTCTAGATTTGGAGTCCTGATGATCTGCTTACTAGCTATATGGCTTTGTGCAATTTATATTCTAAACTAGTATAAAAATGCCTCTTAAGAGTTAGGTACAACCGGTCGGTGGTGGCGCACGCCTTTAATCCCAGCACTCGGGAGGCAGAGCCAGGCGGATCTCTGAGTTCGAGGCCAGCCTGAGCTACCAAGTGAGCTCCAGGAAAGGCGCAAAGCTACACAGAGAAACCCTGTCTCGAAAAACCAAAAAAAAAAAAAAAAGAGTTAGGTACATGTGCCTGCAAGCCTAGGTATGAGGCTCAGGGTTCTCAATTTGAGGTTAGCATTAGCCAATGTAGTTAGATCTTGTCTTTAATTTAAAAAAAAAAATTTCTGGCCTAATAAGGTGGCTTGTAAGGTAAAGGTGCTTGCTGTCAAGCCTGACAACCTGAGTTTAATCCCTGGAATTTACAGGGAGGAGAGAGTCTGTTGGGATCAAACCTAGGGCTCTACACAATCCAGACGTCACTCGATAGTTGGGCTATACTCCTAGTGCCCTTTTATTTTTGTAGTCCATTCATCTGGTGATGGACATCTAGACTAGTTCCATTTTAGCTTTTTAAGAAGCGAGGAAGGATAAGGAAGGTTGTGCAAGTATCTTGTGGCATGCCAGACTTGAGTGTAGAAAATTGTAACTTAGGAGGCAATAGGGTTCCAAGTAAGTATTACAATGTTTCAGTTGCTGTGTGATCTTGTATGGTTAGTCTCTTCTGATCTTTAGCTACTTGTGTATTGGCTTGCATAATTTTTCCTCCCCTAAATATTTTCTATCTTGTGAGTTTAATACTTTGTAGTTTTTTTGTTTTGTTTTGTTTTTGTTTTTGGCTTTTCAAGGCAGCGTTTTCCTGTATAGCCTTGGCTGTTCTGGAATTTGCTCAGACCAGACTGGCCTTGAATTTAAGAGATCCGCCTGCCTCTGCCTCCCAAGTGCTGGGATTAAAGGCATGGGCCACAACCACCTGGTTTTTTTTTTTTTTTTTTTTTTTTTTTTTTTGTGTGTGTGTGTGTGTGTGTGTGTGTTTTGTTGTTTGTTTTTAGACAGTCTTGTGTAGCTCAGGCTGTCTTTGAACTCAGATATACCTGCTTCTGCCTCCTGAGTGCTGGGATTGCAGGAGTGGGCTACCACACTCAACAAAAACATTTTTATTTAGTGTGTGGATTGAATATATTTGTGTGCTTGCCTGTGTGTAGGGGCAGAGACTAGAAGTTGACTTCAAGTCTTCTATCGCTCTCTATTTTTTGAAATAAGGTCTGTTACTGAACCTGGAGCATGTCATTTCTGCTAAACTGGGTGGCCACTTAGCCCCTAGGATCCACTTAGCTGTACCCCTCAGGCGTGGTATGGTAGATATGCTGTATGTTCCCACTTAATCTGTCCCTTCCCATGCTCACACACTGAGGCAACCATCACCAGTGTTTGATTTCAGAACACTTGTATCAGTCCTTTGTCACTGCAGTCACTCCCAATCTACCCCTCAGCCTCTGGCACTAACTTACTTTATCTGGATTTCCATATTCTAAGGATTTTAATTTACCATTAAAAAAAAGAAGAAGAACCTTGGCATAGTGGCTCAGACCTATAATCCCAACATCCAAGAGGCTGAATGAGGCAAAAGGTTCACCAGTTAGAGGCTGCTTGGGCTATATAAATAGTTCCAAATCATCCTGGACTACATAGTGAGATTCCTACCAAAAAAACTAAGGCAAAGCCAGGCGAAGGTGGTGGTGGTGGTGGTGGTGGTGGTGGTGGTGGTGGTGGTGGTGGTGGTGGCGCACGCCTTTAATCCCAGCACTCGGGAGGCAGAGCCAGGCGGATCTCTGTGAGTTCGAGGCCAGCCTGGTCTACAGAGTGAGATCCAGGACAGGCAAACACACACACACAAAACACAGAAACCCTGTCTCAGAAAAAACAAACAACCTCCCCCCCAAAAAAACCCAAAACCCCAAAAATTAAGGCAAGCAAACAGCAAACTTAAAATGATGTGATTTTTCAGTGGAAAACAGCTTATGTCTGCATTCTCCTCACAGATCCTTAGTGTTTGCTGAGTGAGGGACTGCTGTCTGTGATTTGAAAGTCCAGGGCAAGTGTAGATGAGAGACTTGATTGTTTGTGATTTAGCTCTTCTTGGATTATCACTTAGAAGACAATAACACATGTGACTTTTTTTTCTTCTATGAATGAAGTCTATGGCTCCAGCAGCCTTGTTTCTAGCAGCGAAAGTGGAAGAACAGCCAAAAAAACTGGAACATGTCATCAAGGTAGCGCATACTTGCCTCCATCCCCAGGAGTCACTTCCTGATACAAGGAGTGAGGTAGGTCCTTAATTACACTTGTAAAAAGTCATAACTTCATTTTGTAGCTTTGAATTTGGAACTTTTCGGTGTTTAATTTCTGGGTTTTTTTGTTTTTTGTTTTTGTTTTCCCATGGTTCCTTGACTTTCATGTGTGTGCTTATGTTAGTGATGTTAGGCATTGAATCTGGACCTCAGAAAGTGCTAGGCAAACATTCTCTTGTAAAGCCACACCCCCAAAGCTGGGTGTGCTTGCACACGCCTTCAATCTCACTTGCAAGGCAGAGGCAGGTAGATCTGTGCGGTCAACCTAGTCCACATAGTGAGAACCTGTCTCTTAGAAAAGAAAGAAAAAAGCCACACTCCCTATTCCTAGGCTCCCCCCAACCCCCAAGGTGGTTTCTCCGTAGCTCTGGTTATCCTAGAACTCACTGTGTAGACCAGGCTGGCCTCACACTCGGTTCTGAGTGCTGGGAATAAGGTGGGCACCACCACTGTCTGATGTCCTTGGCTTTCTTGAGGGTGACTCTCCTGGTTTTACCCATTTATTGTATTTAATTAAATACATCTGTGTGTATCCATAGAGGTCAGAGGTCTTGGATTGTCCTGAAGCTGGAGGTATATATAGGTGGTAGTAAGCTGACCAGTGTGAGCTCTGGGAATTGAATCCTGACCTCTGCAAGGATTTAGTATATGCTCTAAAACTCCTGAGCCATCTCTCCAGCTCTTCTGCTTTCAGAAGTCAATGATTGGAGATGTTCAGAATTCTAACATTTATAACTGAGATACAATTATGGATTTCTGTTACTAGGTTATTTAAGTCTTTTATGGGTTTGTTAATTATGCTTTATGAAAAAGATATATGGGATTGTATATATATTTTTCCTGTTTTTGAAATTTTCTATATCATTCCAATTTTAATATATGTTGTATTAAAGTGAGCTTTGGTAGCCACTTTTTTCCACTATGATGCAACCTCTGAGAAAGCAACCTAAGGGAAGGAGGGATTCCTTTTGGTTCACCTTGGGAAGGTTTCAGCCTGTGGTTACTTAGCTGTATTACTTTGGGCTCAGGTTGTGAGGCAAAGCAAGTGGCAGATCACAGAGCTCCTCTGGCAGGTAGTGCCAGAGCAACAGTAGAGACAGAAACGATGCTGTCTTTCCGGGCCGTGCTTCTGCGCCCACCTCCTTGTGTCTCCCAGCTCCCGTAATGCCATCAGATTAGGACTGTATCGCCGGATTAGTCCACCGTTGAGGTCAGAGCCGTCAGGATCCAATTACTTCCTAAGAGCTGACAGACCTTACAGTTCATTTGTATTAGTGTGTGTTGTGTCTGTATGCATGCGTGCCAGCCACAGACTGCAGACAACTCTGGCCTAGGTTTCCTCTTTCCACCTTTACTTGGATTCCTGAGAGTGGGCTTGGGTTGCCAGCTGTGCTCGACAACGTCTCTTGCTGAGCACCTAGACCCTTAACACATCAGACTAGGGAGGCATTTCATAGTCACACCGTAACACTTCTTTTCCCTCGCCAAAGCATAGTCACCTAATTCCTTGCCTGAGTATTCAACCCATATGAGGTGGTAATAGGAAGATGTTTTCTCCAGCATACGGAAACTATAGACGGCTAGCTAGCATAGTTTATATCCTTACTTGCTTTGCTAATATAAAGTTTAGGGTGAAGTTGGCGGGGCCGTGGTGGCGCATGCCTTTAATCCCAGCACTGGGGAGGCAGAGCCAGGCAGATCTTTGTGAGTTTGAGGCCAGCCTGGTCTACAGAGTGAGTTCCAGGACAGGCACCAAAACTACACAGAGAAATCTTGTCTTGAAAAACCAAAAAAAAAATTAGTGTGAAGTTAACCGCAATATAGGTCTCTTTTTGTTAAACCCTAAGTATAAAGCTCCATGACAATAAATACAATAAGACAAGTGCAAAAAGGACCCACATTCTTCACCAAAATATCACAAGACCAGTCTCTAGGCCACATACTAAAATTCTTCTCCGAAACCTCTTGAGCCAACAGTTCAAATCATTATCAGCATCATTGTCTTCCATGCTTCTACTAGTATGGCTCATTAAGTATGCTTAAAGTATTCCACTGCTTTCCTAACCCGAAGTAAAGTCTAAATCGCTCCAAAGAAAAACATGGTCAGGCCTATCACAGCAATACCCCAGTCCCTGGTACCAACTTCTATCTTAGTTAGGGTTTCTATTGCTGTGAAGAGACACCATGACCATAGCAACTCTTATAAAGGAAAAACATTTAATTGGGGTAGCTTACATTTTCAGAGGTTCAGTCATTAACATCATGGTGCAACATGGTGGCATGCAGGCAGACATGGTGCTGGAGAAAAAACTGAGTGTCCTACATCTTGGCTTACAGGAAACAGGAAGTGGTGTGTTGCCTACATGTATATTAAGTGCATCACATGTATGTAGTGCCTGTGAAGGCCAGAAGAGGGCATTGGATCCCCTTGAAGTAGAGTTATAGATGGTTGTGAGCAGCCGTGTGGGTGGTGGGACTCAACCTAGGTCTTCTTAACTTTTCAGCCATCTTTGGGTGGCCTCCTCCATCCATACCTTTTATTGTTTTGTTTTCTAAATTGTTTCCCTTTTGTGGAATGTAATTTCTGTTTTCTCTCCCCTAGGCCTACCTACAACAAGTTCAAGACCTGGTGATTTTAGAGAGCATCATTTTGCAGACCCTAGGTAAGTTTATTTTCCTTAAAAGCATGAAAACTTAAGTATGGAATAATGATTTTATGTAAAATTTGTAAACCTGGGAGGAAATCTTTTGAAGGTTTTGGGAAGTGTCTGTTACTGGGTAATAGTGGCTGTCCAGCTTATAGTTTAGCCCTGGTCTGTTTCCACAATGTAGGTGTATGGTGACCCTTGAGACAGCCATTAACTAGGATTTTGTTTTTAATTTTTCTCATTGTAAGATGTATCTATTTGGCAATTTTTAACCTGATAAATAATGACAGAAAATAAAGACTCAAGAGATCCACCTGCCTCTGACTCCTGAGCATGCTGGGATTAAAGGCCTGTGCCATCAGGTCCTCTGTAGACCAGGCTGGCTTTGAACTTTGCCTGCCTCTGCCTCCTGAGTGCTGGGATTAAGTGTGTGCAAGTACAACTGGCTAGGGAAGTAACACCTTTATTAGATAGGACCAAGTCCAGTCTAATTCATAGTCACCAGTTATCCTGTTAGAATCATTTCATCATGTGACTTGTTCATTATGTCTACATGATGTTTTCATTTTAACTTTATTTATTGTGAGACAATGTCTTTGTAGACCAGGCTGGCCCTTGAACTCACTATGTATGTAGATTAGATTGGCCTCAAACTTGCAGATACCCTCAGCCTCTTGAGTGTGCCACTATGCATGGCTGAAATTTTTATTTATGTGCTCAAAGAAATATACTTAGGTTATTTTTATTTTCAATGCACTGACCTTGTTTTGTAATTTTGGTAATGAACTTTTGAAATGGGATAAAACAAGCAGTATACATTAAAAGGGAGCTGATGAAAAGGAACAAAGTTAGGTGAGAGGAAAGAGTTTGAAGATTTTCTAATCCAGCTCTCAGGTGGCAGAGGCCGAGGCAGGATTGCCAAGAGAGTTGCAACTAGCCTCAGCCACAGAGTGGGGTTCTGTCACACTTTGGTTTTCTTTTCAATGTTAAGCTTTAAGGGGCTGGGGGTATAGCTCAGTTGGTAGAATGCTTAATATTCATGAACCCTAGGCTTGATATCTAGGTCCACAGAGCCTCACAAACTAGGTGTGGTAGCACATGCTTGTATTTCCAACATTTGAGAGCTGGAGGCAGGAGGATTAGAAATTCCGAGTGCTTCTCAGCATCATGGTGACTTTGAGACCAGCCTGGATACATGGTACTGTCTCTTCACACTCTGCACTTCCCCAAATGAAAGAGAGAACGCTTTGGAAGGCACCTTTATTTGTATGACTGCTTCCTTCAACCTTGTACTCTATCCTTTCCTTCCTAAAAAGGATTAAAACTGTTTTTAGAATTATTTTATGTGTATGAGTCTTTTGCCTGCACATATGTCTGTGCCACGTGTGTGCCTGATGCCCACAGAGGTCAGAAGAAAGTGTCAGATCTTTTGGAACTGGAGTTGCAGTGAACCACTCTAAACCACACTGAGGCGTCTCTCCAACCACTTGAAAAAAGATCATTGTGTTGTGTTTAGAGGTTTTGTTTCCTCAGTGGTCTTAATTTTAGAGAAAAATGTAAATGAATACTGTGTGTGATTTTTTAGTTCTTGCACAGTACTTTTGGGAGAGAAAAATGAACAGGCAATTAATGATTCAGACAAAAGAAGTGTAAAATGTGTGTTTTTTTTGAAGGGTTTGAACTAACAATTGATCACCCACACACACATGTGGTAAAGTGCACCCAGCTTGTTCGGGGTAAGTAACCCCAACTGTTTTGAATTGTTGAGTTACTTGGGGCTGTGCTTGGCTCTGGGCTAAGGTATGGCACTGCTGCTTTGTCCATACTAAGAGGCCTGCTTGGCTAGAATCAGGCACTTGGTTATGACCTATTGGAAAAAGTGTTTTTAGATGCTCTCTTTCCCACCAGGTTTCTCTATATAACAGTCCTAGCTGTCCTTAAACTCAGTTTGTAGACCAGGCAACCCTCGAACTCACAGATTCACCTGCCCCCTGCCTCCCAGGTGCTGGGATCAAAGACGTGTGCCCCCACCGCCCGCCTTAGAAGCTCTTAATTTAATGAGAATGTGAGGTTAGCATTACTTCTCATTTTGACAGGGATCACCTGGGAGACAAGCCTCTGGGTATTCTCTTTTGTTAGTTGAGATGGGAGGCCCACCCATAGTGACAGACCCATTCCCTGTCTAGTGGAGAAGGGGTGAGTGAGCGGCAGCTGCAGTCATGGCTTATTTCGGACTGGAGGCCTGTGAGCAGCTGCTTGGGCTCTGTAACCCTGACTTCCCCACTGATGCATTGTACTGTGAGCAGAAGAAACCACACAATGCTAGGGTGTTTTATCAGAGCATCAGGAAAAGAAACAAAGTTAACTTCTGTTTAGTTGAGGGTATTTGCCAATGTAGGGGCAGATTTGGAAAAGCCACCAAGTCACATGCATCTAAAGCATTTTTCAGAAATTCTTAGAAGTTGGTGGTCTTGGGCCAGCAAGATGGCTGACTCAGTAGGTAAAATCACTTGCCTCACCAGCTGATGACCTGAATTTGAACCCTGGATCCCACAGTAGTAGGAAAGAACTGACTTCTAAAAGAAGTTGTCTTCTGACTTCCACACATGCTGTGGCATTCCATCCCCTAACACACAGACACAAGCATAGTTTATTTTTTAGAGTGGATGATCTCATTAGTTCATGTCTAGTTAAAGGAAACCCCAATGATACAGAATTTATTTGAACTTATTTTTATGTGTGTGTTTTGCTTGAGTGTGTCTGTGCAGGACATGTGTGACTAGTACCCTTGGAGGCCAGAAGGGGGCATCAGATCTCCTTCGACTGGATTTGTAGATGGTTGTGAGCCTTCATGAAGGTGCTGAGGATCAGGGCCTGGTTCTCTGGAAGAAAGACCAGCTCTTAATAACTGATTGAAAAACTAGTTCTTAAATGATTAATTAATTTTTAAATTTTTTTCATTTTTGAGACACAGTCTCACTATGTAGCCCTGGCTAGACTAGAACTTATTAAGTAGACCAGGCTTGCCTGGAACTCAAGAGTTCTGCCTCGTAAGTGCTAGAATTAAAGGTGTGCACCACCATACCCAGCCCTGTTTATGGTTTTTGTTTGCTTGTTTGTTTTTGCTATAGAATTTGAATCTAGAGCCTTGTGTATGTTAGGCAAGTGCTCTGCCATCCAGTTACATCCCTAATCCTTAAAGATTCCTTTTACTTAAATAGTGTCAATAATATCTGGGGTGCTAGTTGTGGTGACCCACACCCACATTCCTAGTACTTGGGAGGCTGAGGCAGGAAGACTATTCCAAGTTCTAAGCTCCCCTGGGCTGCATAGTGAGACCTCAACAACACAAACAGCAAACAAAAAGGAACATGTTGGGTGGGCATAGAGCTCAGTGGTAGAGCATTTGCTGATATACATGGAGCCCTGGGTTTTATTCTGAGACACAAAGGTCTGGATATCATCGTGCATATAGATGTCTTGTAGAATTTTATATGTCGAGCTGATAATTAACGTGGTTTTCATATTAATATTTCATGAAAATTGAATTTCCAGAAAATTCCCAGTTTCCCCATGTTCTGTACATTGAAAGTTAAGTTTGTTTTTATGTGTTGGGGTGGGAGGTGGGGATGGTTTTGGAAATCAGTAGTAGAGCATGTGCTCAGCCTGCAAAAGGCCTAGGTTCAATTGCAGCATCCCGTTTCACTCTTCTCAAAATCCTTGATCTGCTTCCTTGGGTAGAATTTATACACACGTACTCAGGCATTATCTCTGCCTAGTTTATCACTGTTTGTAGTACCTTACAGATAATATGTGTTTTTTGCTAAGTGTCTGTCGAGAAGAATGGAACTAACAACTTCTTTTTCTTTTGTTTTTGTTAGCAAGCAAGGACTTAGCACAGACGTCTTACTTCATGGCAACCAACAGGTTTATATTTTTATTTATATCTTCTGTTTTTGGGTTTGGAATTTGGTCGGGCTGGACTTGTCACCTTTTGATGGGTATATAGGATCAGTTAGTAAACTAGAGCCAAAGACCATGGACATAAACTTTGATCTAATGATTATAGACAATGCTCTGGAAAATGTGGATTTTTCTGCAGACTCTTTGTACCTTGCATTTACATTAAACCTTTTAATTTCCTAGGGTTTTGTAATTATTTAGCCTATCCAATTCTGTGTACTAACTTTGCTATAAAATGTTCAAGAGCATAATTCTGAAAATTCATGTAATTTAAGGGGTTGTTGATTTTCTTCTCTGCCCAAGCAATGAGCACTTAGTTTGTAAGGATTTGCAATATATTTTTCTTTTAGAAAAAGTTATTAGTGTATAACTTGTTCTGCTAAGTGACTTGCTTGTTCTCATGTCTGATTTCCCATATTGTTTGTCCAGAGAAACTAATGACCTCAGTCATCAGTGTAAGAGTTTTAGTTTTAGTAAGTGGATAAAGAGCACTGTGGATGTAATTTAATTCCTAGAGTGCTGGCCTAGTGTGCACCAGTTCCTGAATTAAATTTTCAGCACTACATACATTGAGTATGGTGACCCATGTCTGTGACCCCCCAGCACTCAGGGCCCAGAGGCAGGAGAATCTTTAGTTCATGGTCATCCTCTGGACTAGAGCAGGTTCAAGGCCATTTTGTGCTGTGTGAGACCCCTTGTTATAAACACAGACAGACAGGCACATACAAGCGAGAGGGAGGAGAAACATTTCTGAACTAGGAGTCAGGTTCTGTCTGTACTTCTCAGCAGCTGGGAGATAGGATTGCTGTGAGTTTGAGGGCAGCCAAGGAATGAGCCCCTGTCTAAAAACCAAATGACATCTTCTGGGGAAAAAATTATCACGTATATTTATACTTGAACAATTGTTTTTTTTTTTATTGTATTTTTTTTTTTTGATTTTTTGAGACAGGGTCTCATGGCCAGGCTAGCCTTGAACTGTGACCTCCCATGTGTTGGGATTTTAGGCATCTGCTCCTGTGTTGGCTTTGGTTTTTGAGGGGTTCCCCCCCACCCGTTTTTATTTTTTTTTGTGTGTGTGTGTGGCTTTTTTTTTTTTTTTTTTTTTAATTTTTTTGGTTTGTGACAGGGTCACAGTAATCTTGAAGTGTACTTGTAGACCAGGTTGGCCTCAAACTCACAGGGATCTGCCAGCCTCTGCCTCCCAATTGCTGGGATCAAAGGCGTACGCCACCATAGTTGGCTATCTAGTTCTTTTTCTTTTTTTGTTTTTTGTTTTCTGTTCACCAATCAGTGCATAGATTGTGTGGTAATGGGAAATTTAGAAATGTTGTTAACCTGAGCAGTATTTTTATAGAAAATCACACTGAGGGGCTGAAGAGATGAGTCAGAGGGTCAGAGCGGCACATACAGCCCTTCCAGAGGACCTGAGTGCCATCCCCAGCGTCCATTGTTGGGGGGGAGGTACACCACGACCCGTAATTCTAGTTCCAGGAGGTTTGACACCTCCAGCCTCCCTGGACACCTTCACTCGTGTGCATGTCCCCCCCAACAGACACGTACACATGACTGAAATGAAATCTTTTAAAGAAAGGAAAGAAGAAAATTGATGAGTACTGAATCAGCACAGGATGTTTCTTGTCCTTCTCACTCTCCTGTGGTTTTTGTTTTTTGGTTTTTTTGTTTTTGGTTTTTTAATAATGGAGAGTTTTAGTCTAGGGTTGAGAACCGAGGGCTCATGACACTCTCTGTTTCCTTCCCTTTGATGTCAGCCTGCATTTGACCACATTTAGCCTGCAGTACACACCTCCTGTGGTGGCCTGTGTCTGCATCCATCTGGCTTGCAAGTGGTCCAACTGGGAGATCCCAGTCTCAACTGACGGGAAGCACTGGTGGGAGTATGTTGACGCCACTGTGACCTTGGAACTTTTAGATGGTAAGTTTTAGTGTAAGGGACCTGGAACCGCTGCTTGCTTTGTCACATGTCTGGCCAAATGTGACTAGATTCCAATGAAAACAGTGAGTTAGCTGAGGTGGTTCTTGTTTCGTTACCTTCTTGTCTCTGAACATTTCTCGAATGTTTCCTTTGTAGAATTGACACATGAATTTCTGCAGATTCTGGAGAAAACTCCAAGCAGGCTGAAACGCATTAGAAACTGGAGGGTAAGAATTACTGCTGACAAACTCATTCTTTCCTTTAGCTTTGCCAGTGAATATACCATAATTGGATATGTGCCCTAGGTTTGGAATTTCCCTTTTCTTACTTAACAGTAATTGTGATTCAGTAACATGGATACTAGCTAAGATGTCAGTCTGTAGGGGACTTTGCTTTGGGTCCTGTATAAATTGTGCAAATTGCCTTTTGCACAATTGCTTGGTCAGTGACATTGGCTGAGTGTTTTATTTATTTGGTTTGTTTGCACACATGTATTCACATGTAGGTGCACATGCCTGTGAGCATACATATGGAAGCTGGAGGTTCATTCCTGTGTTTTCCCCTCTTGCTCTCCATTATTTTTGAGACATGGTCTGTCTAACTGAACTTGGAGCTCACTGTTTGAGCTAGACTGGCCTGAACTCCAGGGATCAGCCTGTGTCTGCCTGCCTGTCTCTCTCTACCCACCTCACTCTGGAGTCCCGGGTACATGCTTTTCCGTGCCAGGGCTCTGAGCGCAGACCCTTAGGCTTATAAGGCAAGCACGTCACCCCAGAGCCATCTCCCCAGCTCCAGTTGTATTTTCTGTATAGTGGTGACTTCTGGGAGAGGAGAAAGGTATGTTTGTAATTACAAGGGTTGATTGTAATTTTATCTTAAAATTAGCCACTTTGAAAATGTTTTATTATTCTCTTCTAATTCTGTCTCCCTTCCTTCCTTTTAAAAAGATTTATCATTACATTTGTGCATGGTTGTGCATGCCTTTAACCCCAACATTTAGGAGACAGATCTCTGTGAGCTTGAAATCAGCTGGGGCTACATAGTAAGACTGTGGTGGTGGGGGTTTATTGTATTTTGTGTATGCGTGCTTGCCTGCATTTATGTGCATGCAGTGCCTTGGAGGCCAGAAGAGGGTGTCACATCCCCTGGAACTGGAGTTACAAGTGGTTGTGAGCTGCTGAGAACTGAATCTAGATCTTCTGTAAGAGCAGAAGAACTGCTGAGCCATCTCTTCAGCCCTAGGATTTTCTTTCTATATGGGTTGCAGTCTAAAGTTCTCTAAATGCAGATATTTTTAGTCTTATGAATAATAGTCATTCCTTTTCCCCACAGCATCAGATAGATAGATGAACTTGGGGTACGACTCAGTGGTAGGATCCAAGTACTTAGCATGCATAAGGCCCTGCACTCAATCACCAGCACTCAAAAAGAAAGAAAAAAGAATAACGCCTCCCTCAACCCCTTTTGGAGACAAGGTCTTATGTCCCTGCAGTTGTCCCTGAGCCTTGCTGTTAGTAGAGGCTGGCCTTGAACTCCCGATCCTCCTGCCTCTACCTTCTAGCTGCTGGGATTGCAAACATGTGCCACTATACATGGAAATTCCCTAAGTCTAGGGAATTAGAGATCAATGTTTGTCTCTAGAAGCTTAGGGTTAGAAGTAGACTTAAGAGCATGTGCTTAATCTTTAATTTTCATATAAAACCTCAACAAATTTTCTAGAGTTTATTTAAAGGCTAACTACAGTCATAGTTACACTGAATGCTTAAGAATGGCTTTTTTCTGGGTGTGATGATGGTGCATGACTTTAAGTCCTTAGGATCAGACAGGTGGATCTCGTGAGTTAGAGAGTTGCCTGGCCTGTCTATTATAGGGAGTTTCAGCTCAACCAGGGCTACACAGAGAGATTCTGTCTCTAAATAAAAACAAGAAACCCCACTCCAATACATTATAAAGCAAAAAAAAAAAAAAAAAAAAGGTTCTTAATTGATGTTTCAGTATACTTCTACTTAGTGGATTGCCTGGAATGAATAGATTTTGTTTCATTTTAGGCATACCAGGCGGCTATGAAAACTAAACCAGATGACCGAGGAGCAGATGAAAACACATCGGAACAGACAATCCTCAATATGATTTCTCAGACCTCCTCAGATACAACTATTGCAGGCTTAATGAGCATGTCGACTACTTCTACTACAAGTGCAGTGCCTTCCCTTCCTGTCTCTGAAGAGTCGTCAGGCAGTCTGTCTAATGTGGATATGCTGCCAGGCGAGCGATGGCTGTCTGCCCAACCTCCTTTTAAACTCGAATCTTCTCAGGGTCATCGGACTAGTGAGAATTTAGCACTTATTGGAGTTGATCATTCCTTGCAACATGATGGCTCGAATGCATTTGTTTCCCAGAAGCAGACTAGTAAGAGCGTGCCATCAGCTAAAGTTTCACTTAAAGAATACCGTGCAAAGCACGCTGAGGAGTTGGCTGCTCAGAAGAGGCAGCTGGAGAATATGGAGGCCAACGTGAAGTCACAGTATGCATATGCCGCCCAGAATCTCCTGTCACACCATGACAGCCATTCTTCGGTCATCCTGAAGATGCCCATTGAGGGCTCAGAAAACCCTGAACGTCCTTTTCTGGAAAAGGCTGACAAATCAGCTCTGAAAATGAGACTCCCGGTGGCTAGTGGAGACAAAGCAGCCTCCTCCAAACCAGAGGAGGTAAAGATGCGCATCAAAGTCCACTCTGCAGCTGATAAGCACAATGCCGCAGAAGACAGTATCACCAAGAGCCGGGAACACAAAGAAAAGCACAAGGCTCACCCGTCCAATCACCACCACCATCACAATCACCATTCACACAAGCACGCTCACTTACAGCTGCCTGTTGGTACTGTGAACAAACGTCCAGGTGATCCAAAACATAGCAGCCAGACCAGCACCTTAGCACACAAATCCTACAGCTTGTCTAGTACTTTGTCTTCTTCGAGCTCTACTCGTAAAAGGGGTCCCCCGGAAGAGACGGGGGCAGCAGTGTTTGATCATCCAGCCAAGATTGCCAAGAGTACTAAATCCTCTTCCTTGAATTTCCCCTTCCCTCCTCTTCCTCCAATGACCCAGTTGCCTGGGCACAGCTCAGACACAAGTGGCCTGCCCTTCTCACAGCCTAGCTGTAAAACTCGAGTTCCTCATATGAAACTGGACAAAGGCCCTCCTGGGGCTAACGGTCACAACACAGCTCAGTCAATAGACTATCAAGACACTGTGAATATGCTCCACTCCCTGCTCAGTGCCCAAGGTGTTCAGCCCACTCAGCCCCCTGCATTTGAGTTTGTTCATTCTTACGGGGAATATATGAATCCACGAGCTGGTGGGATCTCCAGATCTGGCAATACAGACAAACCTCGACCACCACCCCTACCATCAGAACCGCCCCCGCCACTTCCCCCTCTTCCTAAGTGAGAACAACATGAGGCGAAAACTTAAAAAACAAACACCTTTTGTTTTTGGGTTTTGTTTGTTTTTGTTTTGACTACTGATACTGGACTACGAAAATTACATCCCTTATGAAATATGTCACCCTTGGACTAAGGAATAAATTGATATTGAGACAGGTGGGAGGGTGGTGGAGGGCCTCAGTTATTATATCTGCTGCCTCATACATCTATTTTCTTATAGTTTGTACTGGTATCAGAGAGGTAGGATTATGTTGAAGCTGTGAAGGATTAAGAACACTCTGTTCTTGGCCTCTCCTCATCCTGATGAGGTTGATTGGAGTAGTTATCTTCCCTCTTCTTGCCGGAACTGAAACATGGGGGGTAATCAAGCAATTGTGTTTAACGTATCAGAAGAGAGGAAGTATTTAAACGTCAGATCTTTAAGAGACTTTTAAAAAGTAATTTAAAGAAAGTAAGTTATCTGTTTAGTTTTTTTATATAATCGGGAAGGGGAAGGGATTTTGCTGTGTGTATGAGGTACATAGCAATGACTGGGGGTGGGGAGGAGGGTGGGAGTGTGCAGGGTGGGTGGGAGGGTAGGCTTTGGCCAAGAGTGAAATAGGCTCAGGCCACTTGAAGTATTGAGACCTTTAAAGTGTGTGTGTGTGTGTGTGTGTGTGTGTGTGTGTGTGTGTGTGTGTGTGTGTGTTTTTAAAAATCATGTTACCTTTTTCTTCCCACTCTTAACCATTTTCACATCCCAACATTCTACTAGAGAGCATAGTTGGCCTGAAAACATGAAGAGGCATGTATTGATATTGTAAATCATCCCCATACTGCAGCACATGTTTATGTTGTAATTGAGTAGTGGCCCTCTAGTTTGTAGTTGGGACAGATGTAGCCAATGACCTGACTCTCTAGCACTATTATGAAAACTTCCCTTTTACCCCTTTTTGTGTTTTCAATGCAGATGGAGGTGGGATTGAGGAAGAAACTTATAGAGCAAGGCCGGCTTCTGCCCTACAGAATTGGGCCTTTTCAGGTTGGGCTTTGGGAAAGCTCAGGTCTCTGAAGGGAAGAAGGGTGTGCTTCACATGTCCTGCCTGTCGGGGACCAGACCATATGTGGTGATAGGTTTGGGAGAAGCCATTGAGTTACGATACTAAAGACAATGAAATTGTGATTTGGGATTCTAAGACTTTGCATTTTAAGTTACATTATGAATGTAATTCTTGCTTTTTATCTGTATATCTAATGGGAAACAACTGCATACTTGTGATCGCAGCCTGTATGACTTCAGAGACGATGGGACTTTAACAGCACTGGTGTAATGAGTGAGCAAGCCTGGCCAACAGACACTTGTGTTTAGATTGTTTCTTTTGGGTGGCTTTTGAGGCTAGACAGAGATTCTTAAGAGTCCTGTTTTTTAAAAAAAAGTGGATCAGGAATGCTGTTATGGGGCTTGATTATTCCAGATATTAGGGAATATTTTTGATGAAGGAAACCTTTGAAGAGATAATGGCTAGAAAAAAAAAAATTCAAAGCCAAGCTATCTAACTGAAAATGCTACCTAGCCACAGATCATTGCTATTCTTTGGTTCATTGCTTGAAAAAAAAATACATATATATATAGATATATGCACACACATGCATATGTGTGTGTACATTTTTTTGCTATGGAAAAGATGGTGCTATGAGAATAATTTGTCTCTTGTTTTAATTAGTGAAGCTTTTGTCATGCCAAGTAGTCTTTAGGGAGAGGTCAGATTCTTTTCATTCAAAGTCATAGGGAAACAGAAGTTGTACGGGTGCTGCTTGCCAAGAACAGACTAGGAAAACACTGAGGCAGTTACTATTGATGTAATGGCCTAGTAGAGGAGAATGTATAGGAAGAATATATCTTAGGGTGACTTTGTGGTTATTAATCTGCATGTTTGAATTGTCCGGAGTGCCTGCCTTTGCTGTGTAAAACAAGGAGCTCCTTGCTCATCTATAAGCCAGTGATATTTCTTGGTATGCAACTTTTCAAGTGACATTTTCTTTCTTCTTGGTATTTCCTGTGTTGTGCAAGATAGATGTGTCATCATGATTACTAAATTTAGGCTTGGTATTTATTTAGACTTTGTTTCCCATCCTGTCCTTCTCAAAAGGGAATGTGCCATTTAGTTTGCATCTGTATCTGTGAGATCGACAATAATTGATTTGGGGAAATGTTCTGGCTTTTAATTACTCTCATTAATGTCACATATTTTCTAATCACATGCACCCCCTTACCACAAAGGCTGTCATATTTGCTGTTGTAGCAGTTCTTCATGGTAATACTGTAGTTAAATTTCTTAGGACTCTGTCAGTAGTGAACTAGAAAAAAAGTGCTTACTAGAGTCTAAAGAGCTATTTGATGCTGTAGTCTGGTCTTTCTACTGTAGATCAACACTGAATTTGGTTACTTTATAGACTTTTCTTGTATTATTTCCTTCTGGTTTTGTCTCCAGATAGCTACAGTGTCTGTTTTTAGGTCTGTGCATAGTTTCTGAACCTGCTTGTGGGCTCTGCATGAACTGCTGCATTGTTTTTGGGTTAGCAGATATACCTGCCAGCTAGCATGCATATTGTGCAGTTTCTGTATAAATAAGGCTTCTCAGCCATGTGTGTGTCTCCCACCTTCAGACCTTCAAAGGTTGAGAAGTAGTATTTGTCTCTCTAAAGTCAGCCTTGTAAACTGGCTCTTTGTGTTTTCTTTTGATCTAAACTGTCAAGAAGTGACAGTGGTAAGCAGGCTTGGAGCCTCAACTTCTGTAAATCTCACGCCTAGAATTTGCTTGACTCTATGTTGGCAGAAATAAATACCTGTGGATTGTCTTTAGGGCTTTTAATCATACCTGTGTTGTTGGCTAAACTCTGGTGAATCATTAACCTAAAACCAGTGTGGTCTTCTGAAGTATCCAGTTATGCCTTTGGGTTTAGAAAAATACCTAAATACTAGTCTACTTTTCTCATTCATGAATCATTGTGTTTTTGTATCTGAGACTCTCAGCAACCTTTCCTTCTCGTAAGTGATTTTAGTGTCTTGGTTTAGTGTATCCCACATATTTCTATAGTTAGTTAGGTTCTCCGGCAATGATAGAAAAACCGAATTCTCCAATTGCAAACAGCAGTAGATTTGAGTATTGAAACAAAATCATGGTAACATCACTGCTGGGTTTCCTGAAGCCTTTGCAACCTAATTCCTCATTACCTCTCACACCTTGCTTCTAGACAAAGGCAATTGGAGGGGTCCTGTCTATCCTAGTATGGTTGGAATCTACATATATGCGTTTCCATTATTTTGGGAACTGATTATTTTTTAAAGATTTTTTTCTTTTGTTGATGAGTTATTTTGATACTCATGCTAGGAAAAGTGAGAAATTAAGACATCTTGAGATTGGAATGCCTATTTTATTTTATTCTCCTTAGTTTGGGAGAATTTAAGCAGTCTATGCAACCCATCAGTTAGTGAGAAATAGCTTTCCACCATCCCCCACTGAGCTTTCAACGACTCATACCTCCCCAAATGTCTTGGTGTTGATTGAGTATTGGATCTTGATGGTTTAGGAAGCATTCTTTTTGCACCAAGCTGTCATTTATTTCTTATTCCTCAGTGGATGTAAGTTTGAAAGAAGAATGGTACTGTAATCTTACTTGATGGAGTAGTCTAAATTCAGAATTGTTTTCTAAGTGGGTAAGCTCTCCGTTTTAATATAGCTAAAGTTTTTTTATATGAACTTGGCAATGGAAGGAGAGGGAAAAGAATGTTTAATAAAAATCAGTGTCTGCTCTTTCTCTTTATGAGTGAGTACTCCTGGTTACATGAGGAGAAACTCATGGGTTTTGTGTTGCCATGCCAATTGTGGAGAGGGATGCTTGACAGCATGTTAATTGAAGCCAGAGCAAGTATGTCTCCCATCAGGTGATGTGGAAATGCCAGTGGAAGCAGAGGAAGTGATGAGCTGATGACCACAGTAAAATCACATAGAAAATAGAAGTGCTGTCTGGCCTAAGAACTCAAAGAAAACAGTTACTGCAGGTGTAACTTAGGGTTCTGAACTGAAACTGATCTGTATGATCTTACTTTCCACACATAAAACTGTCCATTTTCTTATCAGACCAAAGAACGAAAAGAAAAAATAAAATGAAAAACAAAGTAACACACTTTACCAGTTTATGTCACTCAGGTACAATTTTGTGGTTTTTTGTTGTTTTGTTTTTTGTCTGATTTTTGTACTGCTCAGCATATTATTCTGCTGTTGCCTCTGTCCTCCGTGGGGCACCTCAGTTTTGGGTGCTACTCCTGGGATCTCTACTGCTGTTAGGTGAATGATGATAGGATGTAAGTGACCATTATCATAAGGGCTCTTTGTAAAAAACTTTAAAAACTCAAAAAAATTTTCAAGAAGGATATTGTATACATTTTATAGTCTGGCTCTCAGTTTGATATCTTGCTGTCAAGTATGTTTCTCAATCTGTATTTATCCATCCCATCAATAAACGTTAATGATAATAAACTCCTGATTGTTGTTCGTATGTTCCATGTCCTTAAATTAGTCTTTGACTTAGTTTGTTGAATCATTACCACTTTGGTATTAAGTTCCTATCACACAGTATCCTATGGACATTGAGTCCTTTGGGAGATCTGAGATTTAACTACAACAATGAACCTGGTAGTTGTGGTCCGAGGGGAAAACTGTTTATACTGTTGCATGAGTACCTGGAAGAGTAAAAAAGTTACAGCTTTGCTGATTTACCCATCAGTTAGTGAGAAATAGCTTTCCACCATCCCCCACTGAGCCCTCAAAGGGCATCCTTTTGCTACACCCAAGATCTTGAGTGCTGAGCTAGATTACTGGCATGTACCACCACACCTGGTAGAATTACATTCTGAAGAAGAAAAGTTAAATTTCTGGATAATGTGGAAAAACTGAACACTATATAAGGTAGCTCTTACAAGTTACACACTTAGAGGAAAAGAACTGTGAACAAGTATGTCCAACTTGAGGATTACCAGTAGTTGAAGATCTTTACAAGGGGGCTGATGAGATGGCCCTGTGGGAAAGGCACTCAGTGCCAAGCCTCACAATCCCTGGGATCCACATGGTAGGAGAAAACTGACTCCCACTGGTTACCCTTTAACGTCCCCTCCCCAAATAAATATAATAAAGAGTAAGAGGAAAAGGACATTTACAAATGATTTATTATTTTTATTTCATGTACATTGGTGTTTTACCTGCATTTATGTGTGCGTGAGGGCGTCAGATCTCCTGAAACTGGAGTTACAGATGGTTTTCACATTTATTTGGTTGCAGATTCTCTCAAAAGATTCTCTCTTTACGATCGATCACTCCAATTACATCTGCTCTTTGGTTCATGGCTAGACCTTCTTTAAATGAATCTGACAGCAGATACAGAAGGATACAGAACAAACGGAATAAACTAAAACAAAGAATGTCTGGAGAGTTGGATTTCTATAGGAGGTGTGGTTGGAATCTTTAAAGGAGCATGGAAACGGACTAGCCTGCCATTTATATAATACACTACAGAGGATTTTAGAGAAGCAGAGTACAGAGTTCATAAGAAGCATGGTCTACACCAGAACTCATTTTGATTTTCAGTCAGCTTATCCATAAAACGGAGAAAATAATTTCTACCTCTTAGGGCTGCTCTAAAAAAAAATGAATTAGTGCATAGGATTCTCGAGACAGCCAAAAAAATGTTCCAGTGTTGTACATGAAATGACCAGAAAATGATTTGAACTGCACACAATAGAAAACTAATAAAGCCTTTTCATGTATCAACAGGGTCAGCCTCTGTCCCAAGTTCTACCTGCTGTGTAGGGACCGTAAGGAGGTAGCCGCCCGGGAGGACTGGAGTCCAGGGCCCTCAGAAAACGAACCACGCTGAGATGGAAAAATATCCGGACCTGGCGACTGGCTGTGGCCCGCCTTTCCGATGGTCCACTCACGGGCCGAGTTCCTGACTGACAGCTCACCTCAGCCACTCGCGTTGCGTAGTTTCCCACCGTCCCGCCCTCCTCGAGCTGATGTGTTGGCCTTGGCCAATAGAAGCACCCCACCGGCAGCGCAGCAGCCAATCAGCGTCAAGGGGCCGCAGGGCCGCGTCCCGAGCCGCCAGAGCGGCCAGAGGGCGAGCTGCGCGACGCAGCGCGGCGGGGAGGTAAGATGGCGCCGCGCCCGGCGCTTCCGCCGTGCGGTTAGGTGGCTGCTCGCCCTTTCTGTCGGGTCAGCGCGCTACTCCGTCCCCTGCCGCCGCGCCGGTGCCACTCTCGGTTGCTGGGCGTCCGGGAACCGGGTTCTCGGGTGCCGGGAGCCGCAGGACAAGATGGCGCTTGCAGGGCGCCTGGGCGCAGCGAGCCGGGGCTCGCCGTGAGCCCTGGAGGCGGCCGGGGACAAAGGCGGCGGCGAGCCGGG